TTTTCATTATATAAGAGATCATATCAAAGATAAAGAAGTTCAAGTGGAGTATGTGAAATCTGAAGATCAAATTGCAGATATTTTCACAAAGCCATTAGCTGCAGAACAGTTCATAAAATTAAAAATACTTCTTGGAGTGGTTGATAAAAATTTTGGTTTAAGGAGGAGTGTTGGAAATATAAACCAAAATTAATGACCAAGTTGTTGGAAATATAAACCAAAATTAATGTTTAAGTTTTTTTTGTTTCTAGTAAATTGTATGGAAGCAAAATCTAGAAAATGCAATAACTCTTGGTGGTTGGTTGTTGAGTCTTTATTATAGAAATCTCTAGAATATGTTTCTAGAAATGTCTTTGTACTAGTATAAATATGCATTGAGTCTTGTCATATGGATGTAAGAGAGAAAATTTTATAATAGAAATTCCTCTTGTTTTTATCCTCTTCCACTCTTCCATATAATTTCTCTCTAACAATCTGACTCACTAATTAAGTGCTCAAAGGGCTACAGGCTAAAGATAAAATAAACCAAAAGAGTACAAGATTCATATCAATTACAATAAAAAATCAAGAAAGCAAAGGTTGACAAAGCCAAACCCAAAAAAAATTATTAGTTCAAGATAGAATCCACAACTATGTTCCAAGATTCAACAAGAGAGGCAAAACTGAAAAAGGCCACAGAAATCACAAGCACAACATAATAGCCAAAAAAGAGCACCCATAAAATACTCATCCATAACACAATGAAAGGCAAATCAGACAACAAAGAGTTTCACAACCAACAGAAGAGCATTAAACCAACACAATACCATATGAGTAAAAAAACAACATAGCTAACAGTCAAGTACCAAGTAGCAATAAAAAATTTAACATAAACATATACATGAAATAACAAAAAGACCAAAACCAATTCATCAGAAAAAGAACAATAAAAAAGTGGATGCTCCAACCTAACCCAACCAAATGACAATAGCAACACATCAGATAAAACAATGTCAGATAATTTAAATACAAGAGAATATCTCAATAAGGAAAAAAAAGAGAGGAAAAACTAGGGCTCATATAGGTCTAGTATCACAAAAAGTTAATATTTGAGAACATACAAAGATACCAAGCTAGTCCAAGTTATAAAGGCAATAAACTAAGCTTGAATTGATTAATAAGACCTCCCAATATAAACGGAGACAAAAACACAATAACAGTCCCTAGGAAGATGTAAAGAAAGTTGATAAACTCCACTAATCTACCAAAAATAAAACAGGTAACTACCCATCAATTTTAACCTAGCAGAAGCTCCATGACCATCAGCCAACATGCTTCAAAACTAGAAGAGAATAGCAAAAAGTCTGGTGGCACCAATGACTTTCCCAAACATTAGAAAAGGAATTCAATCATAGCCCAAAAATCTTTATAGAAAACCAATTAAAAGATACATGAATACAATTAGAGATTCACTAAGAGAGAAACTAGAAACCGAAACAATAGGATAAAAAGAAGTTGAACCAAAGAAGGGTAAAACAATAAGTTCTTAAATTTGGGATCCCCAACATATCAAGCTTGATTATGCCTTTGGGATTACCCAAACTTGAGTCTTTATTGAAATAAACCATATTAGAAATCTTAGAGCCTTTTTTAGTCAAACAATCCGCACAGACCTTACCTTCCCTCCAAACGGAAAGGTCACTAGTATCATGAAATGAAAAAAAAAAAAATAAACTCATTTACTTTAAATTAATGATCCTTTATTTTCAACTTTGAATGGTTTTAATGTGTTATGGGGCGAAACCACTCTTTATTTTGAGAGCGTGCTAAATAGGATTCTGAAATGCATAATCTTATGTATAAAATATAAAAGAATTATTTTTAGTATTTGGGCAACTATATTTATTGAAGATCAAAAAATAGTTAAAATATTTATTTTTCTAAGAGAAAAAAAATTTTGGGGTGAACAATTATCCCCCTTCATCTCCTTTTTGTTTCACCCTTGAAAACTAGAGTATTGATGATCTTACTCACTTAACAATGATCCCAACTTCTGAGAGTAAAACAAAGAGCAATATGACTAGGATAAAGGAGAGAATAGATATAAATAAGAAAGAATAAATGCATATTTACCTAAATTAAATGTTCTCATTATAGAACAATATATGTAGGTTAGCTTTAACTTATCACTTAATTGAAAAACATGATAGAAGAACCAACGCTTTGGTAAAGATATCTTCCACTTTTTCTAATCTAGTAGCAAAACTATCAATCTTTTTGTAAACATCAATATCCTATATGAAATAACAACTATCCTTGATGAGCTTGATCCTTGTCATTAAACACATGATTATTAACAATATAAATGGTAGCATGGTTATCACAATGTAGAATTGTATGCTCAATTACTTGAAAATCAAATTCTACTGGCATTGTTTGGCCAACATCAATTTACATCCAAAATGAATCATGACATCTTATGTAGTTTTGATAATTGATATAGCTACAATAATTTACTTCTTACTCTTCAAGGTGACTAATGTATTGCCAAAAAAAAAAAAAAAAAAATACAATACCTTAAAGATGATTTTTTGTCAACAACTAATATAGCATAGTCGTCATAAATCAATACAAGAAGATAGACTATTTTTGACAAAAAGTCATTATTTATTTTGAAATTATCAATCGATAAGACCATTACTGATGTTTTTTTATAACAGCATGCAATCTTTAGTAAAACCCTTATTGGAAAATTGATTATATAAGTAATTCATCAAGATTGTGATGGATAAATTACTAATGGATATTCACTTATTAATTTATTGATGGATTATCCTTGAGTACATCTTAACATATTTATCCATAGATATTTCATTAGTATTTACCAATGGAAAATTTGTCATTAGTATGACTAATGATAATTCCATAAGTTATTTAATATATTACTGGCAAAATACTAATGAGTTTTTTTCTATAAGTGTACTATATATAGGCTTTGTGACAAAAATCCATCGATAATCTGTTAGTAATTCGTCAAATATGTAGAGAGAGAGAGAGAGAGAGAGAGAGTAGGCGAGATAATTACATGTTATTACAATGCTATGAGAAAGCATTAAACAATCTAGTTCCAGATGTAATGATAACCCTTATCACTTAGGCATACAAAAACTTGGTATATGAATCATCATACATATATGTAAAAGAAGATCGAATTGCTTATATAAAGTATGATGATAAGGATCTTCATCTCATGGTAAGTGTGATCTTGACAAAGTGGAGATCAATATAAAGTTAACTTCATAACATTAATAAGTGGTCATATAGCCATTCAATTTTCACACACATGTAAATCAAGTAGTTCTCTCCCCCTATTGTTTCTCCCATTTTTGAAGTGTTAGCTAGCCTTTGCCTAGTTGAGTTATTTTGTTTTCCTTAACATGTGAACCATTTATGCCCCTTCGGTCACTTGCATCATTTTTTATAAGATATTTTTCCTTCTTCTCCTTTTCTTTGCTAACATCCTCCCAAGTTAACCCATGCATGACAACACCTATGGTGGTGGTTTGCTCACATCATTGTAGCATTTTGGGATTCCTTCAGCCATGGATTACTTCTATCTGTTGTTTGGCCTTCCTCCTAAACCAACATGATTTCTTCCTCTGTTATTGGGATTTCTTTCAATTGCCCATCCTGTGGCATCTCATTACCATATATTTTTGGATCCTCAAATATTGCTAAGCTTTTTTTCTTGCATTGTTAGTTATGGACTACCTGTAATTTTGCCTCTTGTATTGTTGCTATCTAAAACTGAATATATGGAGTGTAATTTTATTGGAAATAGACCTAATAAGAGTACACATTTTAGATATCTTGGATCTATTATTCAGAGTGATGGAGAAATTGATGGGGATATTATCAGTAGAATTCAAGTTGGTGGTTGAAGTGGAGGAATGCATCAGGCTTATTGTGCGATAGAAAAGTTCCCCTCAAACTTAAGGGAAAATTCTATAAGAGGGTGTGAGACCTGCAATGCTTTATGGTACCGAATTTTGGCCATTAAAAGAGAAGCATAATACTAAGTTAAGTGTTGCAGAGATGAGGATGCTTAAATGGATGAGTGGCTTGGCACTTAGAGATAGGATACGAAATGAGCATATACGTGAAAAGGTTGGAATAGCTTTAGTGGAAGATAAGATTAGAGAGAGTCACCTTATATGGTTTGGTCACATTAAACGGAGGCCTTCCGATGACCCGGTTAGGAAAGTTGAGGTATTAGATTTGGCTTATGTTAAGAAAGGTAGAGGTAGACCTAAAAAGACTTGGTTAGAAAATATTAGAATTGATCTTTCTTTATTAGATTTAGATGATAATTTGACTTTTAACCATACACAATTGCGAAAAAGGATTCATGTAGCCGACCCCACGTAGTGGGACAAAGGCTTGATGTTGTTGTTTTTTTTTTGGTTAAACCCTCGGAGGGGCCTACGCATTGATATCAAAATGATCGGTTACAGAGTCCTTAAAAGGATCCTCCAGATCGTTGATGTTGTTGTTGTTGTTGTATTGTTGCTATCTAATAAGGTGGTCAAAAGTTTGGTTACACTATTCCACCTTGTTCTAATTAGAAAATGTTTTTGGAACATTGCTAAGCTTTTTTGCTTACATTATTAGCTATGGACTATCATTGTTTCCATTAATAATTTTGGAAGCCTCATTGATCCATAGTTGTATGAAAATATCCTTTCTAAATCCAAAATAAATCTTATTGAAACTTGACCAATTAAAAGACTACATGGCTATGTTTTGAACTAAAGTCTTGAATATTGAGTGGTTCTTAAAAGGTTAAGCAACTCATTGCTAGGCTTTTATTTCATTAACTCATGTCTCCTTTTTCTCTAGTGTGAATTTCATTTATACCTTTGATTTCATTTATTTAACAAAATGTTATTGTACACTCTTAGTTCAATATTTGGCAGACATTTACGTATATATATTCCCGCTTCTTCACTTTCAAGAACCTTTATAGCAAGAGTTTTTGTTGAACATGATGTTAATAGTAATTTTCTAATTTGATTTGAATTGGTTTAAAACTAGTTTCTAATATACAAATGATGATTCAAAATCTTCCCAAATTTTGTATGCATTATCATTTATTTAGACATGAGATCTTTCTCAGTAAGAAAAAAAACAAGCAATGAGATGGTTATAACATTGGTATAAAATTCCCTTCCAAAGCTTACTATGATCAAATCCCTTCATTGGATCCAATAAACACTATCGCGTGCATACTATCTCTTTTTGTATCCCTTATATAGTCATTGCTTCTTGTGGTCTAGCTTCAAACAAGTAGATGCAATATAATCAATTAAATTATGCTATTCATGAGACTACAAATGTATTGCTTAGTACAATTAGTGACAACAACTTAAAACATCAATTGTTAGAATGCAAATAAGCAATATGCTCAATTTTTCTCTAAAATCTAATCATTCATTGATAGCATAATTTGTAACTGGAAGCTTTTATTTATATCATAACATCATAGTTTTAAATGCAAAATATATTATATTTTATAAGAATATAAATAAAAATATAGTTTAAAGTAATCTCATATTATTTTAGAAAAAAATTATTATTAAAAAATGTTTTAATATAATCAATCAATTATTAATAGTTAAATTCTTATTTAATAAAGTTGAAAAATTAAGAGATGTTTAGGATCAAAAGAATTTCGTAAAGTAATAGTCAAAATAAAAAAAAATTATAATTGAGCAAAAAATAACGTAATTATTGAATTAATAATAATAATAAAATAGTCATAATTATCAATTTACTAGAATATTAATGAAATTAAGGTAACAAAAAATTCTCAATATTTGTGTAATCAAATTAATAATGAATAAATTATGTACATGGACATTAATTTTAAAGCTGATAAAATAACTTAAATATAAACATAAAATAGAGGTAAATAATCTATTGAAAATTCTATAATAATATAATTTTCATATAATATTTTAAATATAGTTTAAATAATTAGATAAAGGCTCAATATTTTTTATTTGCACTCATCATCCTTAAATTGTTGATCAAATCAAATTCAATTAACTTATAATAAAGCATGCCTTAAAACATACACTAGAATGCATACTCTAAAATTATTAGTGTTCATTTGAGTCTTCTTGAATTTTAAACTTAAGTTCATCTCTAAGTGTTTAAAGCTAGTAAATGATTAACTTAAAAGAGAATACTTAGAAAAATATTGGATAATAGAAAGAATATTTTATCCACAAATATCAAATGTGACAATCTTACACTATACTCATAGGTTTACAAATTGAATCCAATAGGAAGAAAATAAAGGAGAGAATAAATATAATTACTGGGAATAAATGTATATTTCCTTCTTTTATATGATCTTCTAATCTAATATAATTTTCTTACAAGCATCTTACACAAATAATACAGATAGCTGATAATGAAAGAACACAGCAGCAGCAACACATAAACATGATGCCATCAACAAGCACTGAGTATGAAGTCATGCCTTCCTTTGATTCCAGAAACTTTCTACAAGTAAATCTAATGGATCCCAGCCATCACTATTCTTTACAACAGCAGACTGCCCTCCAATTAGGGTATATATGATTTATTTGTTCAGAAAAGATATAAAGCAATATGGCTAGATAAACATTATTAGATAAATTTTATTATCTTTCAATCTCGTTTTGAACAGCTAGGTGGTAGTGCTGCGTCCTGGAGCTGAAGAGAGTTAAGAAATGGAGAAGAGCTTTTATTCATGGGAACTAAATCTGGAGTGAATTGGAATGATAGAAAATAGATGTTTCTACATTATAGTTCATGAAACTCTTTGACTTGCCATGTTAGTTCAATGTAGAGACCCCTTGCTTTGTTAAAAACTATATGACTTTATGATCTTTTCTGAGAGGGATTTGAAAAATTGTTATATATTAATTAATCAAACTCTATGTTTCGTTTTTTAGTTATTTTTTTTTGTTTGTTTGTTTGTTTGTTTGTTAACCAAGCTTTTGTTTGTTCTTTCAGGTTAAGTGTAGGTAAGGCTTTTATGACGGATCAAAAGAATTTTAATGAAATTCTTAGCTGAAATTGAAATTTCCATTTTTGGCGAAAAAAGACAAAGTTTATTTTAACGTGAATTAAATCATGCAGCCTTTAAATATTTCTAGTGTCGTTTGAAATCAAAATAAATTATATCAATAAAGAGTTAAGCAAAGCTAGCTTTGATGTTTTGAGGGGAAAAAAAGTATGAACGTAGAAATTTTAAAATTTCATTAATTAAATCACAGGCATGTAGAGCCTTAAATTTAGATAGTTCTTGATAGTAAACTATATTTAAGAATACTTCGACAAGGTTCCTGGTATTTCTGAATTCATAAGTCTCTAAATAAATTTTTTATATTCAACTTAGCAGCATAACAATTTTGTAAAGACTTATCGTATATATTTTATAAAGAAGCATTTTATCAATTATATAATTTTGAAGGATTCACTAAAGATACAAGTCTTTTATGTTTGAGTAAAATAAAGATACATGCCTTATATTATCTAAGAAAATGAGGAATAGCGTAAGCAGTAATGACCGCATGGCTGAGAGTTGGGAGTATGAACTGCTAGGCCTAGGCTTATGTTCACTTTGCATAATAGCATAATAATGTAAACAAATTACCTGTACGTTGATGCTTTTGATCATGAATATGATCCGTATGTGAATGTCAAACATATTTCTTGATCATAATACCCTTTCTAGCTTTTTTGAAATCTGTATACTTTCATCAAGATGAAAAATCTAGCGGAAAAGAAAAATAGGAGAATCTATAGGAGATTAAGGGTTTGTGTTTCTTACTGTTTCTTAAAGTAAAATTTTAGTACAAACTTTTTAATTTTGTACTAGAAAGCTGCTTTGAAAGCCTCCCCAAATGAAGCCTCTTCATTTAGGAGAACTTTCTTACTATTTTCTAAAGTAACTTTCTAGTACAAAAAATTTTAGTAAAAAAAATAAAAAAAAAACTACTTTAGAAAGCAATAAGAAAGCAGTCTCATATGAACCTTTTTTTTTCGTTAAAACCTACGGAGGGGCCTACGCGTTAATATAAAGAAAATGTTACAAGGTCCTTAAAAGAAACCTTCAGCTCTCTACTGCTCGAAAGAGCTACAAAATAAAATTTATGAGCCAATGGTTCCTTATACTAACAGTTACAAAATTACCTAAGAACAATCTAGGGCTGCAAGGAGACAACACCCAAAAAGGAAGAGCAAAAGAATCTCAATCAGCACGAAGTTCCTGTAAAAATAATGGATCAAACCACATCTACCAAAACGGTCACGACCAGGTGGTGTCCCATAAAAAAAAAAAAAAAACAAATCCAGCCACCTAACCTACAGAAGAAGAAACTACAAAACAGGTGGAATAAAATTAAAGTAGGATGTAACCAGTAATAATTAGGATATAAAGTTTTACAATTGATGTTACCAAACTGAAATAAGATATGAAGCTTCTCAGCTGGACAATAAACATTACTCCTGCCAAAAACATTTAAGTCAAGAGAAACCTTATCGATCTTAAAAGGGTTCAGCATACTCGCACCCCTATACAGAATTAAATACAAAAAAGTAATAGGGTGACAATTAGCATTATACCCATACTCACGGCCTCCAGAAATTAATCCAGATAAACACGACAGTAACCCGTAAACCTAATAGACTAAATTAATATACAACAACCAACCAACCAACCAGTGAATTCTGCTGAATAAAACTCCGAAAAGGATTACCACTATAGGAAACCCCATAGATCTTCCAGATATCAGCAAAACTAATAAGATTTCTAGCAACAGAAGACTCATAAAACAGAAACGAAACAGAACCGCACCCATTCCACTCTAACTGCACCAAACAACCCGTAGAATACTCCAGCCACTAATTACAAGAAAAGAAAGTGAAGGAAAAACTGCAACTGCCAACCCAAACCCAATAACTACAAACAATCAAACCCAACCAAACCCAACAACATAAGCCAAGACCGAACAGCTCCAACTTGCACCGCAGAAGAAAGCCTGCGCAGGAACCACCAAACCATTAACCAGAGAGAAACCAATGATAAAGGCCTAGAAAGAAAAACCGCGGCATCAAGCATGATGGATATAGGGCAAACCAGTTTTGTCCAGATTAATCATGCCTTTCAGCATAGGATGTAAATTTGTTGTGTTCAAATCCTGATAACTCTCAAGTTGACAACCATAATTAGCCAGCCAATCAGCACATGCATTAGGTACACGATAAATATGCAAGATGGAGTAATTAATAGCAAAAAGGGAATTCTTAATTTTCCTAATCAGATAAAAATTTTGAGGGTTACCAGGAGAAAGTTTGTTAATGATCTGGATAACAAGCTGCACATCCACCACAATCCAGACATAATCAATACCCAAAGTAATACAAATATCCAGACAATAAAACAAACCCATAAGCTCAGCAATGATAACACTACATGGTTGTAAAGGAGCAGCATAAGCTCAAGAACAGCACCCAAATGATCACGGATGATACCCCTCGCACCAGCACAAGTGGTTCCAACAAAGCCATCAGAATTAAGTTTGACATAAGAGAGTTTAGGTTTAATCCATCTAACCACCTTGTCTAAGCAGTTAGGATTCCTGCCTTCAGTGGGAATCCCAAAGTTAACGGCCATATCCAAATAATTTTGTAAATTCTTAGTAGAGATAAGATTGCAATAATAAAATTGTAAAACTTTATGAGTAACATTAGAAATAATTTGAGTAGCATCCATTTTAATGTCACTATGTTTAGTATCTTTTCTAGCTAGCTTTCCAAATGTACCACAAAATAAGAACGTGCAGTAAGTTAAAAATGTGGCCTTTAGAAGGAGTCATCCAACCCTCTAACATAGCAAGTGAATAATTATTAATGACAACATTACTTTTATTAGCAAGATTTATAAAATGATTCCACACCCTTTGAGCAATAGTCCCATTCACAAAAAGATGATTAACATTTTCACTATTAGAACAACATTGACTTTTGGAGGGAAAAATAAAACCTTTTTTCTGAATCAAATAATCTACCAGAATAAAACCTTTAAGACAGCTGCAAGAAAAAATTGAATAAGAAACATGAATATTGTTATGCCAAATAATAGAATAAATGAGTGAAGAATTATATTTAATTTTGATAGTGTTCCAAACCTTATTCAACTGAAATTTACTAGATGAAGAAAGATTGAAAAAAATATTATCCTTGCATTGCAAATCTAAAGGAATAATCAAGATAATATCAATTAACTTGGAGGGAATAACCTATAAAAGTTTATTGACATTCCACTCACCATTAATAATGAAGTTATAGACCTTAACATTATCCATAGAGTGGGTATTTAAAAAACTATCTATAGAATTAGGACCTAGCTAGTTATCTTGCCAGAAAAAAAACATCACCTTTACCCAGGCCCCATTGAATGAAAAGTTTAGCCTCCCATTTAATATGGCATAATCTTTTCCATATCATGGAGTCAGAATTTTTATAATAACCTAATAATGGATGAGACTCTTTGTAATATTTAGCATTTATAAAACGGACCCATAAATTGAGTTTAGATCTAAAGGAGAACCAAAGTTTATGAGAGAAATCTTACACCATATCAGTTAAATTTTACAACCTAAATCCCCTTCATTAAAGACACCACAAATATTTTTCAAGGAGGCCCAGCGAATACCATTGCTATTGTATTTAGATCCCCAAAAAAACTTATTAATCATTCTCTCTAATCTAAGGCAAATGGAAGCAAAAGGTTGAAGAGTATGAAATAAATAAATGGGAATAGAATTCAAAACAGATTTGATGAGGCCCAGTCTACCACCTAAAGATAGAAAATTAGACGACCAATGAGATAGTTTCTTTGAAAAATAGTAAAAATATCATCAAAATGATGAATTTTCTTTTTTACCTTTATAAATAGGAGTATCCAAATACTTAATGGGCAATAGCATAGACTGAAAACCACAGATTCTTTGGATAGCATTAGTTCTATTCCTATTAATAGACTTACCAACAATAAAAGTACTTTTATTTTTATTAATGGCCAAACCACTCGAAGCATTAAATTGTAAAAGGAAATTGCTCAAAATTTTAATATTATTAATGGAACCGTTAGAAAATAGAATAAAGTTGTCAGTCAAATTAAGATGAGAAATCGAGAATCCTCGCGTAGTACGAAAAATAAGCTTAGGATGCCTTAAATATAAATCTTCCAACCTCCTTGAAAGATACTCCATAGAAATAATAAAGAGAGCTGGAGAAATATTAACACCTTGCCTTAATCCTTTAGAAGATCTAAAAAAACCATGATTTCTACCATTAATGATCACATAAAAATAACAATTTTCAATACTATTCTTGATAAGCTTTATGAAATAGCCGCTAAAGCCAAATAAAGACAAAACATTGTAAAGGAAATTCCAGTTGAGATAATCATAAGATTTAGAAATATCCAATTTCAAAATAATATTACCACCTTTAACCTTGGTATTAATATCATGCGCAAACTCTTGAGCTAAAAAAACATTATCAAAAATACCCCTACCCTTCACAAA